CTGTACTGGTGACAGGTACCAAGGCTGGGGTGCAGTTGGAGTCCAAACCATGCTCAGAGGCTCACTAGATAATTGCATTCCCTCACTGTCAATAGAACGAGGGGGAGGTCTGTGGGAAACTTAGGTTAGCACTGAATTTAAATGTGCATCAAAACAGTGTGATTTTGTCTTAAAGTGAAATAGTATGTTAAATTRGCTTGTTGTGGTCCACAGCCATTGTATGGCTGAAACTGTAAGATGCTTTGTCTAGAAAATGTACACTGATTTTTTTTTTGATTTGGTGTAAAAATTGACTGCCACAGGCGGTTACAAACAAAATAGTATGTGGTGAGGATTCCCCCTAGCAATGTAACATTATAAAGCTAGTMGGCCTGTAGTCTAGTCTATATTTGYATGTTATTCAGCATTCTTTAATAAAAACACTATTTCTGTTTTTCAGTTCTACTTGTTAAGTCATTGGTTTTATTTCTCTTAACAGTGACTGTGTTCTTAAGCACTTTGACTCCAAAGTTCTACTTTGCGCTAACAGTGACTTCATCTTTTATATCTGGACTCATATTTGTAAGTAGTCTGCTTTCATTTTTGGTTTTTTTTTTAAACAGCTTTAGCACCTCTCAGATGACCTTCTGAGAGGTAAATGGAATGAGTCTCAGACTCTAGAGGGTGCCTTTGTGCTGGGAAGGAGCTTCCCTGGTGTGTAACTTCTCTTCTGCTGTGTGTGTTGTGTGTTGAGACTGTATGAGTCTGAGAAAATACCCTGTACAGAATCCCAGGATGGTGTGTGAGTCTGATAAAATACCCTGTACAGAATCCCAGAATGGTGTGTGAGTCTGAGAAAATACCCTGTACAGAATCCCAGGATGGTTTATGAGTCTGAGAAAATACCCTGTACAGAATCCCAGGATGGTTTATGAGTCTGAGAAAATAACCTGTACAGAATCCCAGAATGATTTACCTCCCCTGACAGCTCCAGCTGCTCCCTTGGGTCACCAGAGAGATGAGATGGATCAGTGCCTGATCCAGGGCTGACTTTGGTGTAGTCCTTGAGGGCTTGTTATATGCAGGTATTTGTAATAGCATCAAAAAGAGATGATAATATTTTTGGCCCARAATTTCTGAGAAGTGGCCATCATTGCTGTTAACTCAGCCTTGTCTCTTTGTTAGCCTCTCTCTTTCTGATTAGCAGAAMGTCTCAGTTTAATGGGCCCTTTTGTCCTTTATTCTTTTAGATTATTTTTTGAAATGGAAAAAGAATACTTGYGTTGAATGCTGCAAATTTGGTACTACAAGTAGGGATACAGCTTGATCATCCTCACCAGACAAAGAGGATGTGATGTTTTTTGCTTCTCTTCCCAGTTTCCCTACACAGGCACTACTGAAAGAGTTTATAAGTTACCCTTGTGACTGGAGAGGGAGGAACATAAGGTTTGACTAAAATTTTGCTGGTTTTCTCCCAATCTCTTGTGAGTGATCTTGCGTGACAAGACAGGCCAAAGCAGATCATTGGTGTTACTCTGTATGGAAATAAGTTCCTGCCCTGATCATTTCYGAGTGATTATACTTACAGTGAATGYTYTTCCCTCATGTTTGCTGGAAGGGTTTGCTTTTCACCTAAGGAAATTTCTGGTGCTTTTTTTTCTCCTGTGACAGGTGTTTGAGTGGTGGCACTTCCGAAAATATGGCACATCTTTCATTGAGCAGGTTTCTGTGAGCCATCTGAGGCCCCTGATTGGGGGTGCAGAGAACAGCCCTCCAGCCCCAGCAGCTTTCTCAGCAGGGGAGAATGAGACCAGCAGGCAGAACATGCCAGGTGATTCCTGATCTTCCCCAGCAGCTTTTCCTGAGCTTCAAGGTGGCTTTTAATGGCTTTGGCTCTGCATTAGTGCTTATAAAGAATGGACAAAGCCTACATCTYCTGAAATGTTCTGTTAGTAATGGTAAAAATAAACTAAATGATGTATTTTTGCTCATAACTATTCATCGTTAAAAATACGATTTAGAAAATGTTACACGTTTAGCTAATGTTCCAGTAACATTAGTTAATTACTATTCTAAATATGTGCAAGGTAAATATGCATTGCATGAGTGTACATGGTGGGGTTTAATCTTCCCACCATGTGCTTTTGTACCCCAGCAGTGTTGGGGAGCAAAAMTATTTATGGAATAACAGAAGTTAATGATGATTGTATAATAATAAAATTAAAGCAGCTTTTGAAAGCACAACTGCTTTTGCATTAGTGCATTTTAATGTYAAGGTAATATTTCCCATGCTCTTAATTTAAAAAATACTTTTGGTTTTTTTTTTTTTTATTCCCCAGAGTGCAAAGTGTGGCGAAATCCTCTCAATCTTTTCAGAGGGGCAGAGTATAGCAGGTATTAATTATCTTGCTTTCCACTGCATATTTTTAAAATTAATCGGGGGCATGCACATGACTTCTTCCCAGAGTTTGCACTGGTAATGTCAGGAGACAGCTGGAGACCTGTGAGATTATAGGGGTGATTGATGCCAATCCTGTGTTTAAAAGGCACCAAGCCAAGCTTTGGCAGTTTCAATGTTAAGAACAAAAATATTACTGTAGCATCAGAGTTTTTTGGGAGTAAAGTAGGGAAAAAAACTACATTCAGCAATTCAGACAGTGATTCTCAGTATAAATTCTCTTTCATTAAACCATACTGTAAGTTTCCTAGTGTTACTTCATGGGAAAAGCTGCTTTCTAGGAAGCCAATTCCCAAGTTGTTTAGAGCTTTACAGATTACTGAAAAATAGCACTTGAAACTTCATATTAGTAGCTTTGGTCTTTTATTAAAACAGATTTTCTGCACAGGGCACATCAGATAGCCCCTTGGCATCAGCATTGCTAATTACTAGGAATGCCTCTTACTGRAATTTCTGCTGGTTTAGGTACATGTGGGTGACTGGGAAGGAGCCTCTTACTTACTATGACATGAATTTGTCAGCTCAAGATCACCAGACCTTCTTCACCTGTGACACGGATGCCCTTCGGCCTTCAGATACAGGTAGTGATGTGTGTAAGGGGTGTAAGTGTTGGAGAGTGTAAGGTGCCTGTTTTTAGTGAACTTCAAAGGAGTGCAAGTTTGTGAAATTGTAGCCTTTCTCAACTGCTAAAGAGGTTTAATACATGTATAGAATCATCGAGTGGTTTGGGTTGGGAGGGACCTTAAAGCCCATCTYGTTCACCTCCTGCCATGGGCAGGGCCACTTTCCACTAGACCAGATTGCTCCAAGCCTCCTCCAACCTGGCCTTGACATTTAGCATTTAGTGTTTAGTGTAATTTAGTGCGTTCTCTACAACTTTAGTGTTGTCAGGGTCCTGACATTTTTTTTTTATTTCGCACATTTCAAATAATTAACACAATATTGCAAACCTGGGTTATATKCTCAACAGCCAAAATGGGATCTCATTTAAGCCTTAGTGATGAATAGTGCGGTCTCCAGATTTTTTTCCTTGTGTTCCACATGTTTAGTGCAGAAAATGTTCTTTACCTGGTTATTGTCAGCGTGGGTGTGAATTATTGTCAATTTGTCACATTCCGGACGTGTTCCTTGTCAGCTGGCTGTGGCATGTTTGATATGAAAGATGTGTTTTTATTTCACAAAAGGGAGTGTATTGTCTCACTTGCTGAGCCAAGACTAATATTTTGTTTCTGAAAGAAAACTCAAATATTTTTCCACGTTATTCTTGCTGGACAGCAGGAGGTTTTATTCCAAAAGAAACATGTATAGATTCTTCAGTTTTCTTATCATCCTTGAGATAGGCCAGATATGGAGCTCCATGAATGTAAGGTTTTGGAGTTCCTTCAGAACTGGTTTTTAGTGTGAAAGTTATTAATGCTGCATAGAAAATGGTAGCTGTGAGTGTGTTGTTTTCCTAGAAGTTGGTTTTCAGTCTGTATTTTCCATTTTTCCAAATGGAAGCATGCAGGGAGGGGTTTAGAGTCATTGCATTGAAATAATTTTGAATTCAAGTTGTAATTCAAAGGACACTTCTGGATACATTTCACCCTTTTACTTGTTTCCTGGAACACTTGCTAACAAGCTGATAAATTGTGTATCTTGAATTGGCTTTGCCATGTGATGCCACTCAAATGTGCTTTGTGAATTTAAAAAGAGAATGTTAACCTTTTATGATCTGCCAGTTGCCTAAAAAGGAGCATGGAACAGAACCCCAGAATGGTGTGGGTTGGAAGGGACCTTAAAGCTCACCCAGCTCAACCCTCTGTGACACTTTCCACTGTCTCAGGTTACTCCAAGCCCCATCCAGCCTGCTCTGGGACACCTCCAGGGATGGGGCAGCCACAGCTTCTCTGGCCAACGAAATATTTAAGAGCAGAGTTCTACCTGGACAAGACACCATACACTCCATCACTGTTTTCTTTGAAGTTGTTTGAAAGCTTAAATTAAAATTCGTGCAGGTCTATGCAGGAACCGGTGTTTAACAATTGCTCCTGCCAAGCTTTCAACAAGTCTTGGGAAATGTTTCCAAAAATCTGTAGCAATTGAGAAATTGTACATCTGCCTGGTTATGTAAGCTGTTTTTRTGCTCCATGTAGGAGTTCTGAAATGGTCAGTGAGGAATCTTCGTGGTGGTGTTGCTTTCTTAAACTAGATTTRGGGTGGAATGAGCTGTTGCAAGTGTTTGATGCTTGTGGTAGGAACAGGCTGGAATCAAAACACTTGTTTGTTCTTCCTTATGACAAYCATGCAGCAAACAGGAATTTTTGGACTGGAAGGAAGTGTTAGTTAGAGCTGGCTCCAAGCTGCAGTGTTGCCTCCACTGGCTCCAGGTCTGTCACAGGTGTCCATGGCCCTCAGCAGCTTTTCCATGTTTCCTTTCCATGTTTTCCCTACAGTTATGCAGAAAGCGTGGCGAGAGAGGAACCCGCAAGCCCGGATTAAAGCTGCATATCAAGCCCTAGAGTTGAACAATGAGTAAGTTTGGAAATTCAGTTGCTGTATTTCTAGCGTGAAGAATTAAGTGGAAGGATACTGAGCACACTATCAGTTTCTGTTTCTTCATCTAATAATTCACTTTTAATGAAATTCTGAATAGCTTAAGGGGGACTCCTGGGACTGGAAATTGCACATGGGGCTSTTAGTTGCACTGAAGTATTGAACTSTTCTGTTAAAAACATTTTTGTGCTGTTTTCTTTCTTGAATTGTTGTATTAGTGGCAATAACAAATGAGAAATTTGATTCGGGTGTGGAATGGTGTAAATTGAATAGGAGATTATGTATTTCAGAGATGGCATCGTGGTAGAACTGTATTTGGAATTCACAGATGTCACTCCTGTAAAGGATTTAAAAGTACTCTTACAGCACAAACCAAAGAATTTCATGCACTRCTGTGATCCACTTTATGTTGTTTCATTATTTTTGTGTAAAATGTTTTCAAACCTCCTGGTTTTGAAAGAGCAAATCAAACACAAGCCTTTCCACACAATCAGAGACCATTTTTACAGTTTCAAGGAAAATAATTTAACTTGCTTTTACAATTTTTTCCTTTGTTTTTTCTTTAAATASGAGGAGTGATTTTTTTCTGTGAAATGGAAAAGGTTTCTTTTTTCCTGTCAATCCCCTTTTGAACTCAAGCCAGTATTTTGAAACTTCAATATTGTCAATGCTTACGTCTTAAATTTAAATGAATCTTGCCCATTTCTAATTCTTTTAACACTAAAARTACTAAACTTCCTCCCTCAAAATGACTAGTGGGTTTTTCTCTTATTTCAGTTGTGCTACTGCCTATGTCCTCCTGGCTGAGGAAGAAGCAACAACGATTGTGGATGCTGAGAAATACTTCAAGCAGGCTCTGAAAGCAGGAGAAATGATTTACAGAAAATCTCAGAACTGCCATTCCCAGAGCCCCCAGCACGAAGCACAGCTGAGTAAGGACTTTGAATCACATTAACTCAGGGGTTTATGTGAGCAGAAATGTAAAACTAAAGTTATAATTAGGAGGGCTAAGGATTGAAACTGATAAACTAATATTTTTGTCTTTGTAATCAGGAAGAGACACCAATGTTTTGGTGTATGTGAAAAGGAGACTAGCTATGTGTGCCAGGAAACTTGGAAGAATACGAGAAGCAGTAAAAATGATGAGAGATGTAAGTAAAAGTAAAAGACCCCGTGGTTTAACTGTTGCTTTCAGTCACATTGTGCAAATTGGTGTTTCTAAGTTCTTTTGTAGGTATCATAGTCAATCTAATTGTGTTATTTTCCCATGAGATTTGCACATTGTGATTGGATGGGTCTTGGAGCAGCCTGGTSMRGTAGAAGGTGTCCCTGCCCATGGCAGGAGGTTGGAATGAGTTGATCTTTGATTGCTTCCAACCCAAACCATTCCATGATTTTATGAAWTGATGCAATTCTCTTCATGCTGCTTCTATGCTAGTTTCTAACACTCTGAAACAACAGAACATTGAAAAATCCTAAATTATTGTGCTGATTTCTTCCAAGTGTTTCAGTGATTCAACTGCAATTCTCTATGTAATTTATTTATCTTGACTGATTGGCAGTTGATGAAAGAGTTTCCACTTCTCAGTATGCTGAACATTCATGAAAATCTCCTGGAGGCCCTTCTGGAGYTACAGGCTTATGCAGATGTCCAGGCAGTTTTAGCCAAGTATGATGGTAAGTGATGCTTGTTGGCAAATGTGGGTGTTTTTAATAAAAGTGAAGTGGGCAGGGGATGTCTGTCCAAAGGCAGGAATCTACCCATGACCTCAGGGAGGTGTCCAGATTCCCTTCATCAGTAACTAAGAGGTGCTTTCTGAGTGCAGGTCAAGTTCTCCCWTTGACTGTTGATGTCAAATTTAGGCAAACTTAAGTTGCCTACAAATTACTTTCAATGTTTTTAAATTAGTTGTAATCTGTTACGAAATCTTTGCTTCAATTCGAGGATTATTTTAATTAATCTCTTCTACATCCCTGGTTATGCCTAAATTCATCAGACTTTTTCAGCCAGCACATAGCCCTGTAGATAATTCATGTAAATAGGCTGGAGCAGGCAGTTCCTTTTTGTCATCCTCCAGGCTTGGTCTCATGCTTTTGTAATACTGAGGTTGCTCATGAGAGATTAGCAGTGTTCAAACTTGCTGCTTGCCAGAGATTAGTGGTGTGCATCAAATGGTGTGGTTTGCTTTCACTTTCCATTTTAATTAGTRGGTTTCAGATATTGTGTAAGTCTAAATAAAGGTTAATAAAATATGTACTTATCAAAAGATTGCCCTCAGTTTTGCCACCTAGACAGTGCCCACTTCATGAGTGTTACAGGGCTGCTGTCAAAGCAGGGCCTTAAATCACCTTTGGAATGGAGGGACATAGCAGCACTATTTTATAGCAGTTATTCCCAGAAGTTGTTGAGTTCTCTGTGTCAATTCTTGATTGCCTCAGGGAATCAAAAGTGTGATATTTTTCCCCAAATCCTGTGCTGCTTGTGTGTGGCCAGCCTAGCACCTTCTATTCCTTGATTCTTTTCTGTGTGAATATCTCCTGATTTAGGAAAATCGTTTATACCTTTTCCAGTGCTTCTTTCTGTTACACCAGAAATTGTGTCACTTTTGTAAGAAAGGCTKGCTGATTTTTTATCTGAGCATCTGGAAAAATGAGTACAAGCTTCAAACTCTCTGCAGCACCCCTGTGTTTTGCTTGACACGACAGCCAGACTTGTAGTAAGTGATGGACAAGCCCAGGATGGGATTTACAAAAAAAGCAAGAACCATCTGACTATACACAACATGGTACTTGGGAATTAAATCCCAGACTGTCTGCTTTTAAAGTAAACTTGCACTGTGGAGTGCTAACCTTCTCATCTGTAATTGTCAGCTCAAACTTGGCTTCAGATATTCTAAAAASCTCCAACTAAAAGAATTTTCCCCCATGGAACTGCAGAAAAACAGAAACGACATTTTTGTTCAAATTTGTCTACCTGCCTGTTTTGTAATTTTTKGTGGTCAGCTTCTGGTCAATATGTCAGTGTTGTATGAAACTGTGTTATTATACAGTTGCAAAATTAAGTAAAGATTAGAAGCTTACTTCAGATCTTTGTGGGTTAATACAGAAAATCTATTCTGTTTTTRAGTGTGTTTATACACGAATTTCTCTTTGGCCTCAGGTTCAATGTGTTGGTACATTTGGAAACAAATATTACTGTCTACCACCTAAACACAACTCTGAGTTTTCAATCTGACACTGATTGGTGACTGTGTAAAGAAATTCAGAGTTTCTAATTGCAGCTGAAATSTTCCAGATGTTACATTCATTGTCTCCCATACCCAAGGAAAAACCTTTAACTGAGAGGATGTGGGTTAAAAATGTTTGTATTGCCATAGAATCTTACAGCTTAATTATTTTATCACAGATATCAGTCTTCCCAAATCAGCAGCAATATGTTACACAGCAGCCCTGCTAAAAGCCAGAGCTGTTTCAGAAAGGTAAGCAAGGACATGTGAAAACAACTGTTTGTTGCTACCCTTGGGTTCTGATGTAAAATATTAAGGAAAAAGGTCTAAATCATTTCTGTTTTAGTATTATTTGTAAYCTGTAAAGAAATCTTTGCTCCAATTCAAGGATTATTTTAATTTTTTAGTCTTTTTTACTTTCCTGGTTATGCCTAAATATGTAGCAGTTACATTTCTAAGAGCAAGTTGTGTGTATTTATATAGACACATATATCTGTGTGTGTAAGTAAACACAATTTAAAATTCCTTTTAAACATCCAAAAAGTTAATATGGTTGAGGATGTTTTTAAGAGCCCATGTATTGAGCAAGTGCTTTTGTATAAATGGTGTTTTTGGATTTGTGTTTTGGGTTGTGTGCAGGATATTTGTGGTCAYTGATGCTGTGTTTCACTCTGGTCTGAGCCCAGCTCCAGCTCCCAGCAGGTGATGCTGTGTCAGAGAGCTGAACTCACCTGACATGAATTTCAAACATATTTCATATGGGCGTGAATAACAGTCAAGATACCTAACTTCACATTTTTCCTCTATAAGGGTTTGTTTATCTTTCTYGATAAATCAGCCAATTTTTAATGAACTCCAAACTCACAATGCAAATAAACACCTGGTTAGGGCTTATTATTTATTACTTTTGTTCAATGTGGGGTTTTCCCTTCAGGTTCTCCCCAGAAACTGCCTCCAAAAGAGGGCTTAGTACAGCAGAAATTAATGCTGTGGAAGCAATTCACAGAGCTGTGGAATTTAACCCTCATGTTCCAAAGGTAAGAGTATTTTATTTCCTATTGGACCACTTCTACTGTATTCTGGAAAATACCATGTTACAATATAATTTTGTTGTTGGAGCCTTTCTAGCCCCATGTTTTCTTGAATTTGGTTATAACTCCAGCCATGGAGTTGTTAAAAACATTAATATTTATATCATAAATGTTTTGTGGCCAGATTTTTTTTAATAATAGCTGGTGTTCAAACAGGGTTTTTTTTACAAAACTTTGAACTTGGAATTTCCTAACTCGTTGAAAAATGCTGTATGGTATTACTAAAGGCCCTTTACTCTCATTAAGGGTAGACATTAATAAATATAAATGCAGATATTTAAAGTTGTAGAATAATCACAGAATAGTTTGTRTTGGAAGGGACCTTAAGAATATTTCATTACAACCTTCTGCTTCCAAGTCTCTGAAGCCAAATTAAGTTCTCCAAACAATAATCACTCTCATATTCCAAACCTCTTTATTCTGCTGTGCTTCCAACCACGGCTCCATGGTTATTGAAAKATCTACAGTCATTTGTTTACACATGGATGAAGAAAATAAGGTTAAGAGTCTGTATCACCATAGGCTGCAATTGAATGTCTGGCATCAAAATGTGGATTCCACAGAGAGTTGGGTGAAAATAAAATCTGGTGTCACTTTTTAGTGTCCTAGTGATGGTTTGAGAATGAAACCTTGCATGCAGGAGGCTGGCTCAGAGCAGGGTCTAATCCCCTGCAAATGATGCTGGAGTCCCCGTGGCTGCTGCTGGCAGGGCTGGAATGATCCGGCTGCTGCCTTCTGTCTGCCTGTCCAATCCAATAGAATGTGCACTGAGAAAGCTAATTGCTGCTTCTTTGCATGACTGATCAAGAGCATAGCAAGTTCAGTTCAGACAGTCTCAGACAGATTTTGCTTTAGCCTCTGCCTTTAGGGGCAGAAGCTTATAATGCGTTATCATTATCTAAAAGTTCTTTTGTTTCGTGTGTCGTGCAGTTGTTTCTGGAGCCTCGTACACCTTTGTAGAGACATTGGAGATCATTTCAAACATGTTAAAAAATGGTCTGAAGTTCTGCAGACAAATGCAGAAACTCATTCCAGGTTTCAGTAATTTGATTTTCTCTTCTAATTGTACATCTATCCATTCTTCATGGGGTTTGTATTGCACTGTTGCTTTGAGGCACCAATTGAATAGATGATAGAGCCAAATTTTACTGATGCAGGTTGTTTAGAACTCTGAAATGTTTCTGGTCAAAGCAAACAAGTGAACAAGGGCAGAGAAGTGAAGCAACTTTCTCAAGGGATCGCAGAGGGGGAAGAAAATCTGATTTTTAATTTCCTCTTTGTTCTGTCCCATAGACTAAAAACAAATGAGTATGTAAAGTAGAAATCCCTTTGTTCACACCTCTGATGAAAAGTGGTTGTCTTTGCACGTAACATCATTTTGCATAAGGAAAATAAAATGAGGTTTGTTTCTCTTTGTTCTGCTTTTACAAAGCTAGAGTTTGTTTGGGAAGTCAGAACCAGCTGGAAAACTGGTCCTCTTAAGCCATTCCAAATTAGAAATCTGTAACTGCATTTTGGTATTGTATGAAACAATCTTTTGCAGTCATCTGAATATCTTAGAGATTTTTATTCTGTRTAAAGGCTTCAAAACCTAAGATGCTTTCAGTAGTGACACCTTGCCTGTTTTATGCTTAACCACGGCCATGTAAACCTGGCAGGCTGTGAAATTTTTCTGTTTGTGTGGTGTGGTGGCCTCAGAGAGAGCCAAAGCCTGGAATTGAGCATTGGTGTTGTGGCAATWCTTGGAGTGGGGCTTCACCAGCACTGCTGGGTTTATATTCCCAGTTAACAGAATGGAAAAATGGGCACTGTGGAGAGCATGAGGACTTGGGTCAGGGGTCAGATATTTGAGACCATTTTCCCACAGCAACCCTGTATGAGTGGTCCTTTACTGTGTTAAAAAAAATTAAAAAATTGAAGAGGATTAGAGGGGATTAGCAAGAATATTACTCTGCAGAGTGCAGGCCCAAGGCACTGAGAGAGGAACCTAGCCAGGCAGCAAATGTGCTTTATTTGGCTGGGGCACAACCCCTCCTACATTCCTTGAAGAGTCTGAATGGGAAAAGTTAAGTCCTCAAACTGGATTAGTAAATAATCTCATAGTTTGTGGCATCTGCTGAAATAAATCAGTGAGTTAGCTGCATTCTTACACTTTGGGGGACACTCCAAGGAATTGCCAGCTACATTGATCAAAGATGTGGATTAACTTTGGCTGTTATTGAATGAGACATTACATGATAGAACAGCTCACAGGTAAATACTAGAGCTGAAACTGTCTTTTTTTTGCTTGTAAAAAGTACTCATCTGTTTTTAAAAGCTAACTTCAAATGAATACCTGACTTTTTTAATGTACCAAGAGAAAACGTACATTAAAAAAATTGCATGTTCTGTGTTGCAAAGGAAATGGGAAATGATTAATCCTTGTGTTCTTTGACCCTTCTGAGCATCAGGTTTTCTGCTGATTGAGGGAGAAGGGTGAAGTTGAAAGAATCTGAAATCAAATATACTTTGTGGTAGCCCAGTAAGACCACATTAAAAGAAGGTTTTCCGGGGTTTGGTTTATTGTTCTTCCTTTGGTTAACTCACTGACACTTTCAGGTTTACTGCTTATACTTTAGAACTAACAACTCCTCAGCCATCTACATTGAAACTTTCAAAGATGAAACAMTGAGCAAAAATACCATTGGTTTGGGGCTTTTTATCAGCCTAAATTTGTCCCTCWTTGGTGCTGCACCTGCAGCATTATACATAACATCTGTTCCACAAGAATGTATTTTTATTTTRTCTTACTGAAGCTGTGTTTTTCTTGATTTTTTTTTTATTTGTGTGTGTGTGTAAGCCTAATTTAAGAGTCATATACACAGGAGTGTGTTTTGCTGCTTTTCATTTCTCATGTGAGTGCAGCCTGGCTGCTGTGTGGCACAAACTGCCCCTGTCTGTGCTCAGTTAGGCCTCAAATGATCATTTATGTTTSACAGTTAAAGCTTTTGGACTATTCCATGTGACCATGCGTGGTTTCCATTTTTCCTTTCAGTATTTACTAGAAATGAAAAGCCTGGTGCTGCCTCCAGAGCACATTCTGAAGCGAGGGGACAGTGAGGCAGTCGCCTATGCCTTTTTTCACCTCCAGCACTGGAAGAGGATAGAAGGGGCTCTAAATCTGCTGCACTGCACATGGGAAGGCAGTAAGTATCTCCTTTCCTTTTCTTCTGTACAGTAGATGAGTCTCTCTGCCTTTACWCCCCTCAAACACGATTGATTCTCTTTATGAGAAGCTGCTCACCTGGTTAGGTACAGATTTAATGTCACTCACCCTTTTTGCAGCATTTAGGATGATCCCATACCCGTTAGAGAAAGGACATCTTTTCTATCCCTACCCAAGCTGCACAGAAACAGCAGACAGAGAGCTGTTGCCAAGTAAGTGGTTTCTAAGCAGTAATGATAATAAAACACAGGCTAAGGACATGTTCAGTTTGTGGTATTCTGTATTTACCTTACTGTGATTTTTTTAGTTTGAGCTTCCTGTGAAGGGGATTCAGCTATTTGTTGATGTCCCTCCCAAAAGATCCTGAAGCACTTGACGTGTGTGTGTGTGTGGTAAATGTCAGCTTGATGCTGTAATAGCCCAAGTCCTTCAGAGATGAAATCTGTGTGTGGTACATTCACACTGAGTCTGGCCTACTTTGAGAGCAACAAAATGGTCCATTTTTAAAAATTGCTTTTAAAACAATTGATGCAGTTGACTGCTATAGCAAGGAATCAGTCCATGGTTCCAGACCTGAATTGCACTGGGTATCCAGTAAAACCTGTCTGTAATCTTAGAGAGAATCTTTGGTTAATCTATAACTTCATAGAAYGGGTATTGCTTTCTGTCATTAATTAATTGTCCATATTTGTCTGCTGGCTACCTCCTGAAACATTTTATCCATGGATTTCTATGGATTTATACTAACATTCCATACTGAAAAGTAAGTCTTACCCAGCTGCCTTTGCTTCAAGATTACTTTATGCAATTATGAGCTTACATGGTTTTTTCCTTTGGGCAAGACAAATAAACTAAATCATTACTACCTGTTCTCATCATATTTGGGAAAGCAGCATTAATTTAGATTGGAATTGAGCTGTTAATTGAATTCCTTTGGGGCTGATGGTCTATATTGTGAAGAAACACAATTCTGCTGGGAGTGGAAGGGGCTACTGCAAAAGCACCAGCAGCCCCACAGAGACCACAGCTGTGGAGAGGAAAACGCCAGAGACGTGTTTCTATTTAAAAGCCCGAAGTTATATATAAAATGTGTAATTTAAATTTGCCCCCAGACTGCTTTAAATTACTCATTTCTCACTTATGCAGGATATTGCACAAGGAATTCCTTGGTTAGCAGCTAACCCTAAATTGTAGGCTTCCCAGCATAATTAAACACCAACACATGCAGATATTTCAACACGATCACTCACGCATTCCTGTTATGTTTTAAATATAAAACTACCCATAAATAAAGTCATCTTAGCACTTTTATTGCAGTACTTCCTTAAGATATCTTGACACTTAATTTTTTAAAATTTATCTATTTAAAGTAATGTTGACCAAATCAATGATTCAAAAAACTTGGATTGTTTGGATGAGTGATTCTTCTCAAATATCTGTGAGCATATAGAATTTGCTTTAGTTGTCCTTACCTATTTTGGATTTGGTTTTAATTTCCCAGTGTAGGRAAAGCTACTGCAAAAAGAATTAATTCCTATTTTTTAAACTTTCCTAAATTATATTGCTCCATGTTTTAGAAATGAAGTGAGTTTCTCTATAGTATGAATCTCTGGGTAACGTTAACATCTCTCATGCATGTTAGACATGGACCTCCAAATATTCTACTTAATTGTGCTCCAAAATAATATCGTTACAAGCAAAGCAAACTCTGAGCACTTTGCCCTTAATGAGGTGCAAGAGCAYAAGACACTTTTGCTGAGTTTATTCTTTTAATGGTGCTTTAATGTACCAGCTTTCAGAAACAGTCACTGGGAGGGTAAAGTGTCTTTTTCTACCACCTCAGTTTGAAAGACAATACAGTTATATTTTCTCGTTTTACAAAAAAAATCGACTTAAAATTTTAGGGTTTTGTTAGATTTTAAAAACAGCTCATCAAGAAAGGCAGGCCTCTTGTAATTACTTATGTCTATAGAAAATACTATTTTCTTAATGTAAAAATCTTTTGAAATAATTGGATAGAAATGGGAGCTGCAGGTATCCAGAGCCAGTGAGTAATTGCAGTTCACCAAACAGGTCCTATGAGTGACCAGTAGTAGTGTTTAGAGTGCTGAAAGTTCCACATGCCACCCTTGGCCTGCCTAATCACCTGCYTTGGATTTTGTTACCAGAGATTGGAAATTGCAAGGAGCTGCTATGTACAGAATTTATAACCCAGCCCTGGTGCTGTTTTCTTTGAGGTCTGCTCTGTCAGCTGCTCTGCACAAATTTACTGTAGTCTACAACCACAAATGTTCAACCAGTACTGGGAAATGAATGTGGATATAGCATGCTTGGCTGTTTTGTTGCTGCTCAGCTTCTTACAGGCTGGGAGATGTGCTGTTCTTCTCAGGTAACAGGATTAGAGCTCCAGAGGYTGAAAACACCTCAACTGTTTGATTGGTTTGGGCAATTTTGACAGCTCGTGAGCTTTACAGGTGTTCCCTCTGTCCTGTTAAAAGAGTGAGTACCAAAAACTGAACCTGATGAAATGCTTTAAAAATAAAGCCCATGCAAGTGAAAAAGAAGTCTGGGAAGAGAATATTAATGACAAAAACAAATATATAATAACTATTAATAATGAAGACAAGCATGTAATGAAGGGGAAAAATTTTTAACAAGTTAGAGTACTGTTACCTAATATGTGCTGCACAAGTCTTGAGTCCACACTTCCTCCTTCTGAAAGTCCAGAACTGAGTTACAAGACTATAAATAATTCAGAAAGGAGTCCTTGATTATCAAATGTCAACATTCTTCATTTTTTCCTTTCAGCTTTTCATGAAGTCTCTGTTTACCCCCAGAAGGAACTTCCCTTTTTCATCCATTTCACAGCAGGCCTGTGTTCCTTTTCAGCCATGCTGGCCCTTCTTACCCACCAGTTCCCTGAACTGATGGTCATTTTTGCAAAAGCTGTAAGTACTGTCTCTGTCATGGRGCTTACTTAGGTATATCTCGTGAGATTTTGGGGAATTTTGAGGTCCAGGGTGAATTAGCCTCYAGCCAATCTCATGCTTGTGGGGCTTGAGTTATTTTACCTTCTTTTGGAACAACCTTGGTAGTGACAAACACATGTTGAAATTTGGGCAAAATGTCTATTCTGACAAGAAGATGAACTGTTACTGTGATATACTGTGGCTTTCATTTGCCCTGTTATGCTGAGAGAGCAGCATTTCAGCACCAGGGACATTTTGCCACAGAGCACTGTGTTGAGTACGGGTTTTATCTGCGTGGAAGTGGACAACAGCAATGGGAGAGCCTCAAAAAKAAATTTGTTGACTGGAGAGTTTGAGAAGTGAGTAAGAGGCAGTCTGGACTGCAGGAAAGCAGGTCTCTGTGAGCATTAGAAACTGAAAGCATGATGTAAATGGACAGATTAGGACAGGTCTAAGAACTGGTGACATCAAACCAGGCTCAGGAGCGACTTCAGCTGTCACCTCTCAGGAGCTCAGCCAGGGGTTTTTATCTCATCTGGTTTCAGTTTCTAGATGGAGAGTATGTTCAGTGACTTCTGTCATTTGAGTACCTGTTCAAGGATAGAASTTGGACTTACTGRTAATAATCTGTGATGCTTAAAATGYATCTTAAATATGTCAGTTGTTGAGCCTGTATCTTAAATACGTCGTATCATAAATGCATATCTTAAATGAAGCGTATCTTAAGTATGTCTGTTCCTGTGGGTGCCTTCTGTGCCTTTCTGCCTCTCTGCCCTGCTCTTTTTAGACTTTTTTCCCTTGYTTATTTGTTAACATCTGCTGGCTGTATCTTTGTTGTCTTTCCCTGGACTGTGGAAGCTGAGGAACAAAGTACCTGGGCAACTTCTCAAGCTACTCAAGGCAGTAGGTCTGGCCTTTCTTGAACTGTGAATCTCGTGCAGTAAAGCAGAGTAGCAAATAAAGACCTGTGAACTCTTAAGTGAACAATTTATTTTGGCTTTGCTAGTCAAAATAGAGGCTAAAAGGCATTTGCTTTCTGGCTGGTTTAATGCAACAGGTAATGGAGACYCAGGAGGAAAGCCCTTTTTTATTTTTCAAGAATACTTTGTTCCTAAGAATGTTGGCTTTGCTAGTGAGCCCAGTCTAGTGTCCAAGTCATGCAGGTCTGAGAGGGGGTCTCATTTCCACACAGTTGTGTTGATCTTTATTGTGGAAAATGTCGTTGGACATAGCAGTGACAAATTTCAGTGCTGCTCATAATTGGCTGGGTTCACAGTAACTAGGGGCTGACTATCTGCTTGATTAATTCTGTAAGGGCTACATGAGCAAAGTTGTATGATTTCCAAAGAGATACAAGGTCAAATGTTATGCTAACAAAGAACTGCTCGGTGAAGTTCTCCCTACTGGGTTTCTTGAACCAAAAAAAGAAAAAACCTTGTACAGTTGAGTTGGCTTTGCAGTTGTGATGTYCAGTGACATGTCCAAGTGTGGGGTAAAAAACTCCCAGGGTTTGTCATTTGTCAGTGTGTTTATTTTGTTTATTTTCTTTAGGAAAAGATGGATAGTCTCTGTTCAGCTGAAAAGATGATCAAGAAGAGTGTGCATAGCCACAACATTCCCCCAGCCAAGTCACAGTGGTATCAGGCACACACAAAGGGGTTCTTGACACTCTCTATAACAGTTTAATACTGGCAAAAATGGAAATTGTGTACTGGGATCATCGGGCAAGAAGGGAATTCTGTATTAATCTCTTGAGATTGTCAGCTGAGAAGAAAATACCAACTTCCAGTATTCTGCCATTTTAGCTAGAATTAATGTTGACTCTCAGTCATACTCTAATGAGGAAAATTCTTCCATATTTTACCTATTAAGTGATTGTAGTCATGATCCCATTCCTGAYGTTTTTCGAGGGATTCAGAAAACTTGTAAGAAGAATGGCACTCAACATCAAAGTAACATTTGTGATTTTAATGCCCGAAACAGGGGTKTTGCAACTAAATGATTTTTAAAGTCCCTTCCAACCCAAACAATTTTATTATTCTATTATTCCATGTTTCAGTTAATAGATTGCTTGAATATTTCAACTATAGATAATGCTGTGATGGCTGTTAACACTTTATACATTCTCTCTYTTGTTCTGGAGGTCTATTGGAGTAGCATCTAGTTGAATTTTCATACCAAAAATGGAATATTATCTATTATCTCTATTTAATGATACCAGCCTTTCTACTCAACCATACTGTAATAAAGCAATTATTATTTGCTATACTCAGTATCGTATCTTTAAGTAATTCCAGTGCTTTAAGCTTTTAAAATTATTTTTTCCTATGTATTTCATTGCTTCAAGTGTTTTTCATCTTACTGTGCTTCACCTTATTCAATACAGTAATTTGAGATAATAAAGTTCTAGCTGGTATATCTGGAGTGCTTTGGCCTTAGATGAAAGCAATGCAAAATGTATTTCCAACAAATTCTTGAATTTCCAAGAAACCTAGAACATAGTTTTAGGAATGKCGGTTGGAAAGTATTGTGTATATGGAATTTTTCACTGTAAATCTCCAAGGAGTGACCCCTTAGATTACATTTCAGTTACTTCTTAATCAAACTGTTTTTCCAGCAGTTGAGTCCACAGCGAGCCGAATGCCTCGGAAGGGATTTAAGAAGTTGAATACCTTTCTATTGACTTGAAAAGTCTGAGTTTACATATTTTCATTTGTTAGTGCTTGAGTTTGTTTCCTCCATAATAAATCACWGGATAAACCTTGGCAAATTGCTAAAAATATTCCAAGTGGCCAAAACTCACAAGGAAGCATTWGCTGTTTCCAATGTATACAGTGTGATGGAGCATCAGAGGGGCTGAGCGCTGGCACGGCTGCTGGAGGGGATCTGCTCTGCCCCCAATCCATCCTGGGAACTGGTGCCATGGGGATTTGGGGGGGCTCTGCAGCTCCCAGGGTTTGCAGRTGTTGGGCACTGCTCTTGGCAGAATGGTTGAGCATTTACTGAGCAGTCAGAGCCCAGGAAGGTGCCCTGAGAAGCTGTGGCTGCTCCATCCCTGAAGTGTCCAAGGCCAGGTTGGATGGGGCTTGGAGCAAYCTGGGAYAGTGGAAAGTGTCCCTGCCCATGGCAGGGTGTTGAAATTAGAGGATCTTTATGGTTCTTTCCAACCCAAACTATTCTGTGATTCCACAGTAACTGTGAGTTGGTGCTGGTGAGAACAGTGGAACAGGCAGGGGTRGAGGATCCAGCACCAGTGCAGGTGYTCCCTGGACCTTGCTGTTTGTTTCATCCAGATTTCTCATACCACTATTAATTATTAKTAAAGTACTAAAAAAATAGTGCAGCAGTGTTTCTGCTATATCTTACTGAAAACAACTTTCTTTTTCAGGGAATTGGACAAAATTTTAAGCCAGTCCCTGTTCCAAAGTGGTTTAAATGGATCGCTTGATATTTTCACAACAAAGAAAGAAGTCATGGGACTTACATTAAAAATTGGCTAATTTTTCTGATTGCGAGATTAGGAGAAAACATTTCTCATTCYGGCTGTCTCCTAGCTCCTTGTTGGAAGATCCCTTGCCATTTTGTCCATGGCAGCCATGTAGGGACAGAAAATAGGACAAAGCAGTGCCGTGTCTGGCACATCCTGCTTTGTGTGACACTCTGCTTTACTTTCAGAACAAATCCCCCTACCACTTTCCCCAAAGCTCATTAAGTGAGACTGGAGAATTAACTTTTTAGCCAGCTGCTGAACTTTTCATATTTATAAACACTTGAGTCTTTTGCTTATCTAAGAGAAAATGTGTATAGTTTGGAGATGTGCACTTCCCTGCCAATGTGTAATGAGTGGTTCTACACTTGGTAGGAAAAAAAAAGCCTGAAGTTTCCTGTCAGAGCTGAGTGTCGATGCCAAGGGCAAAGGTTTCTTGCCTTGCTAATCTCCATCTTAACTCATGCACTTAATGTGAAGGTGCCACATGCAAACAGGCAGGGAAGAAGCCCACTGCAAGGAAAAGCTCCTACACTGCTGTGAATGTTATGTTTTAAAAGCCTTTTTAATGTAATATTTGAGGTTATGATAGAAGCCAGGAGGGCCAAAGTAAAACCTTCAAAGTAAATGAATCCTGTTGTTGCTGCCTCATGAAATGTGGGTTTGCACAAGGATAACCCGAGTGCCAGTGGAATACTTGGGGGATGGTTGAGAAGGTGCAGGGGAGTTTGGATGATTTCTTTYAGCCTAATCTTACTTCTGGAACTATTATATGGCATCTAGAGGATGGATCCTGTCTGGAAGCACAGATTGGTCGTGGTGGATGGGCTGTTCAGTTTGAATCGTGTATGCCTGAATATTGAAAAAATGGGGTGATCTTTAAGGTCTCTTCAAATCTAAATCATTCTGTGATTGTCTGAGAATCAGCTGTCCTCCTGTGCACAGTGTGTTCAGCCCTGAAGGCACAGTGCTGCAGAACTGCAGCATGCAGGAATTCCATGTAACCCTTGTGCTTCTGCCCAGGTGCTGCGGGTGCTGTGGCCCGTGAGTGCTCCCAGCGTTCTGGCCTCCAGCTGAATGGACTGCACCACAGGTAGTGCACAACATTGCCACTGGGGCTTCCAGAGGGCTTTTCTTCTTTTGTGTGTCTTCATTAATATCTGATGTTTACAACGAGACTATTTCATGTCATCAGCAATGAAGGGATTGGAGTTCTGTTGCCTTGAGGGAAAGACAAAGGGTGGTTTTTGTTCATACCTTGAGTTTTTAGAAGAAAGTTGGTTTGGAAACTGAGCTGATTTATTTTTGTGTTTTGTTTCTTCCAGTGTTTTGGGACTCTCACCCTTCAGCTTCGCTGTGGAACACACTGAGGTCCTGCTGCTGTCCAGCCCCTGGCATCTGCTAACTCCAGTGTGACTGGAGTGTGTTTTCCATGATAGTTTGATTTTATTCTCATGAGCCTCACTTGGTGGTTGGCTGACACCCAGTTGTGGGGGCCAAGGAAGAAATCTGGGCTTTTCAAACTGATATCCTTGACAGGCTTCCATGTTGATGGCGCTTAACATATGAATTTCTTCTTTGGCCTTAATCTGTAATCATCTAAGAAAATAGTTTTGTTGAGCAATAGTTTATTGCTCTCTAAATCACTTGGACAACTGGAAGCTCATACTTCCTCTGTAAAAAAGGAGAGTACACAAACTGAGCAGGTGTTTGGAGTATTGATACTTCCTTCTCAGCTGCAGATGCAGTAGATACTTGGCTTAGATTTAATTTTATAAGCCTTTTTCAAAATGTTTGTTAACCGCAAAGTATGGTTCTGCTTTCTTTATTAAAAGGTTGCTACTTAACACATTGAATTTGTTGACTTTTTAAGCGTCTGTTTAATATAGATTATGATGTGCAAACAAAGATTTGTTTCTTCTCTAATGAGCCCGTATTACTCAAGGAGATGGTAAACTCCTCTACTTCATGTTACTTCTTTAGATTTAATTGTGCATCTTTTATTCTTMAAGACAAAGCATTTTAAAAGACAGGAAGGCTTCTAAAACTGCCAAAAGTGTTGTGATATCTGCTTGGGAGTCTTTATTGGGAGACCTGAACTTTCAAGTGTTAGTCCAAAGTGGTGTCACTGTTGATAAAGACTTGAAGAGAATGGAGATGTGGAAAACTCTTCAAAGTAATTGCTTCATGTACAGCCCAGCCCTGAGGGTTTGTTTACTGCAGAGGTGAAAAGATGGCTGTGGCAGCCGAGTGATTTGAGGTMATTGGGTTCCATTTTCACTCTCCCATTAGAGCAAAAGTCTTTTTCCCACCCAGGTCTGCTGCTGGGCATCGGGGAAACAGAGTCATGTTAGCCCAGGCTTTTAGAAGAGGAGGTGATAAAACAGCACGGGCCTGTGGGTGAAAGCTGATTGTAAACAATGAAAACCCATCTTCTATTTTGCAAACAAACAGGTATACTTACATCAAAGAACTGGGAAGGTTTTACACATTTGATCTCCACTATCTTGGAATGTTTGTGACATTGATGGCTTCTTTCAAAGGTGATGTAAATTGTTCCAGTTTTTGAATCCTGGATRGAAGAAGCTTGCTGTAGCCTCCTGTATTCTCTGAAACCATCCCTAAGTCAACAAGTCATTTGAATTGACTTAAAATACCTCTTGATACAGAAGACCAAGAATGAAYTATTTTTCCTTTTCCTTATTTTCAAATCCTTCTTTACCAAGTTTTATGAAGCAGAGATTCACCTCTGCATCTCATGTGAGTGTAGTTTATTTGTAACTCTGAGAGGAAACACTTGTTTAGGTAGAAATGCCATTGTTTGCTCCTCACTGTGTATTTCTATTGRCTGGACTTCAGTCCAAGTTAAATACTTGCATTCAGCAAGGAGTCAAAAGGGAAACCCTACAGAAAGGTACTACCAGTGTTTTTAGAGTTACCTAACTACTAGAAGGTAATTTTCAGTTGAATTTTTGTCACTGAGGCTGTCTCACTTTGGAATCATTGGGGTGATTAATAGGCCTGTTGTGTTCATGTGATTTCACTTCTTGCTCTTCAGGGGCCCGTAAGGTAACCAGCCTAATGCTTTTTAAAGTTGAACCTTTTCCAGCAGTTGTGTGGGGTTATAAATGAAGCKCTGCCTCCCATGTATCATCCCAAGAGCTGCTTTCTCTCACTGTCCTCCCCTGACATAACAGTAACAGAAAGGGGATGGGYTTGTTCTGAAAGGAGAGCTGGCAGCAGGCTGTGTAATGAAAATCTTCCTGTCTCCAGAAGTGCCAGCAATTCCTAAGGAGTGCTCTGTGTAATTTCTGAKCAAGATTGTCCATGCTTTCTACAAGTGTTCCTTTGCTGCTTAGGAGCAGGTACTTACACCTGACCCATACCACAGTAATACCATATCAATTGTGTTGTGTATGTGTGTATATATCAAAAAAAAAATCAATTAGAGCAGATAAATATTGATGTAACTTCCTTGAAACAAGAACTGTGGTGACTTTACAGCCATTGGGATGGCAAAAGCTTTCCCACAAGGCTTTATGTGGCATTTTCCWCAAATTTTCAGTTCATTCAGAGCAGCCAGTTGAAGTCAAATCTTGGAGATTAACTTTAATTTTTTACCTGAATCTGTGTGTTTGTGAATCAGTGTATTTATAGGCTCTTGGATCATTTAGGCAGGGTTTGAGTTTGGGGTGGGTTTGGTTTGTTGGGTAGGTTTTGGTGCTCGTGGTGTCTCACCATATCAYAACAGGTTAGTTTTGATCAGCATGTCCAGAAAGAGGATGTAGCTGTGTTTCTTCCTGCCAACCTCTGACTTCTCMAGAAGTATTTTCCAAAAAGGACAGGAAGGGTAGAAAGGGAGAAGTTTGCCACACTAAAACTATTGTTTGTCAAACAATTAAGCAACTGATTCTTTTGTTCATTTGCCCTGTTTTTCCACTGATTTTAATGAAAAGTGTCTAAAGTTCCATGTGAATCCATTTATTGCATGTGCATCTGGAAGGACACAAATGTGATTTAACTCATTACCAGAACAGCTTCCTAATGTTGTCTGACATGAGGTGTTTGGAAGTTGATGTTTATGTGCTATTGGCTGTTTGATTTCATGGAGCCACAGAGGCAGGAGCATTTCAGGAGCATACCCATGATGGTGCAGTGGGTGCTGGAGCAAAACTTCCCACTGGCTGTTGGCACTGTTGGAATAATCAAACCCTTCCAGCAGAGGCAGCTTAGACTGGTATTTCAGAGTAACAGAGTCTGTTCATGGCAACCTTAGTTCCTGTGTGCTAGAAACCACATCAGTTCTCTGGGGAATGATCTGTGGCAGATATTTACCAGGCTCCGAGCCCTGGATTTTGGAAATTTGGGATACATGTGTGGGTTAGTAGCTTTTATGCATATATGTGGCAACAAGACTTTTGATGCTGTCAGACACCTTGGGCACTGAAGTTACGGGGATGAATTTCTATGAAGATGGCCCTGGGGTGGCTCTCCCTCCAGGTTTGTCACAATCCCTTCCTGCATTTCTCCAGCTCTGGGCAGGCGTGTTCATTCCCTGCTCCTCATCCTGGAATTGTTGTGAGGGTGCCAAGCCTCGTAGATCCATGACTCTGAGCAAGGCAGGGTGTAAAGGTCATAGTTGAGACCATTAATAACAAGGTGCAAACGGCTGGTTTATATGTAATGTGAAGCTTTTTACTTATTTCATTTTTGCACTTTGGGGGCTCTGTTTGCTTATGGAGCACTTGGTGTCTGGTACCTATTTAGGCTGAGAGCAGGCAATTGGGTTCCTTCAGGCCTTCAGAGGAATGCAGAAAATTGTTCTCTGGTGTTGTAATTCTGCTGGATAACTGGAGCTTATTTGTCTCACTGCTTATTAAATGCATACTTTCTAGAGGTCCTTTTTTTTTTTTTTCGTTTCTTTTTTTCCTGAGAAACGTTGGGTGAATCCCAAGGACCACAAATGAGAGGAAGATTCCAGGAGGAGGGGGAGAGGGAAGTGCCTGCACCTCTCCGTGAGCTGCATCATCCACCTCCAGTGCCAGCAGAATGAAGAGGTTAAATATGAGAGCAGACTCCCTTAGGGAAAGGAGATGTATGGATAGGGCTCGGCCAGACATAAATTAATATTGCCCTTCCCCCTGCTCAGAGATGAGCCAGTGAGGGGAGCAGCACCTCCCAAACACTAATGGATGGTGTGTGTTGTTGGGAGCCAGTGAGGCTCAGCTCTGCAGCTCTGTGGGTCAGGAGCAGATGTGAATGGTGCTGTGCTCTTTGCAGTGTGCTCAGCAGGGCAGAGGGSTTCATGGAATCACACAACATCYTGAGCTGAAGGGAGCTGCAGAGAYAGAGTCCAGCTCCTGGCCCTGCACAGACACCCCAACAATCCCAGCCTGGGCCTGAGAGCATTGTCCAAAAGCTCCTGGAGCTCTGGCAGCCTTGGGGCCACGATCATTCCCTGGGGAACCTGTTCYGTGCCCCAGGAATCTCTGGGGGAGAACCTTTTCCTGATAYCCAGTCTAAATCTCCRGAATTCAYACTCTGCCAGCTTCTGAGCAGTGCCCAGCTTGCCCTGTTTTGCTTTTAAAAGGCACAGACTCTTGTCTGTCTCCTTGGGTTAATTAGGATGGCTGCAGAGGTGACATCCAAGCTGTTGTCACCTGCTTTTGAGTCARAAGTCCCTACACATCAGACAGGATGACAGCAGCAATCACAGTGGGCTTCTGTGTTCAGTCTCCTGTGCTCTAAATCCATCCAGCTTACAATAAAGGTGGGTAAAGAGTGACCACAGCCTCAGTTTGCAGCTCTGCCTCCTCCCTGTCTGGAGCCTCCTCAGTGGGGTGTGCTCTGCAGGCCCCAGCCCTTACACTGGAGGGACAGGACGGTGATCAGGRATGCTGCTCATGTGCTTGGAATTTTCCTCTTTTCCAGCCTCAGCTGCTGTTCTGTGCTCTTTGGTGGGATCCTCAGTGAGTGTGGTCATTGGGGAGAGCAAGATAACACACCCACGCTTACGGCATCGGTGAGGGTGCATCCACCACGATGAGTGTGCTCCTCCACTGGGATCCTCCCCCTTTGGTAACTCCTGGCCAAACTTTTCCTTTTCCTCTGGATGCGTTGAGTTGTGCAATCACGGCGTGGCCTCATCGGCTGTAGCCTTCTCCTAACAACTCTTGATTTCCTCGCTGGTTTGGCTGTGGGCTTTCATCAGTTATGAAACAGTGACACAGTATTTGACTRTTGCATTCTCCTGCCTTGACTCACGGGCTGTGATTTCAGACCAGTGACCCCCCTGCTGCTTGCTGGAGCAGCCCTCCATCACTTGGCTTCGGGAGGATGGGATGTGAAAGCTCCCACACAGATTTGGACAGGCTGTGCAAATGTTAGTTCAAATGGCACAATAAATCTGTCCCTGTGAGCTGAGCTTGTTCCAGCAGGTGATCCCACGTGGATTACASTGAGCACAGTACCTGAGCAAAGCTTTCTGTGCCTTTCTGAACCCAGTGGAGAGCAGAGAAGGGGCTGTTGGCATTGGGATGYATTCACCTGCATTGCTGAGTTCATGAACTGATGGATCTTAACCTCCACCCCAAAAATGGCGCTGTCACCGGGGCCGTTCTCACTCATGTAGAGAAAATCAGCATCACAGAATCTTCTGGACTGTGCACGAGATCCACAAGGAACATTTGGATGTCAAAGTCCAATCCCTGGCCCTGCACACCATCTCATGCCTTGTGCCTCCTCCTGTGTGTCCTGTCCRTCTTCTTTAGAGAAGATAATCTCTTCAGAAGCTAATTCAGCAATCGATTCTGCTCCTTATCCTTGAGTTCAGTCATGCTGTTGACCGCAGGATAATCAGAAGATGATCTTGCATAAAAAGCTCCCTGCACGTTTTAGGCAGATTACTTAGGAGGGGCTTGTGAGAGGGACTGAGTGTTCCCTGATGACACTGCAGCCTTCAGAAAAGTTTTGAGATGGAAACCAGCTGCTTGCCAAGGGTGAGAGTGCTGAGGGAGCCTCCATGGGACTCATCTGCAGGAAGGCACTGACCACTCTGAATTTCCTTCAGCCCAAAGCGGGACCTTGTCTTGCACAAGCACTGGCAGTTTGCTCTGGCTGACCAGTGCATTTCTATTCCAATTCTGTAGGGTTTTGCTAATTGCTTGTTAATGAGTGTCACCTTGCATAGTCCTTTGGAGAAGAAACTGCCACTTATTCTGTCAGCACAACGGACTGTGTCCACGGCTGCTCCAGGTGCTTCAGGAGCACTGGCACTTGATTCCAAGGATTTTTACTTGTCTTATTTCTTGCTGTGACAGAGAAATGCAGCTGCACAGGAGGAACAAGCAAGGGCTAGGAAGGGTTYCCATCTCAGCTCTGGTTACTCTACAGAGCACTGGAGGCATCCACTTTCAGCATCTCAATGATGAAATGGCAAAGGGGGGAAGCCAATAAACCCAAGACWACCTGTTCTCAGGAGTTTCCCTCTTTATTCTAAAATCTGAACATCTTATTCAAGGGCAGTATATATTTTGGCAGCAGCCATTGATTAAGGTGTCATTGATCAGGTGGGCTCACAGATCTGCTCCAGACAGGTCCTGGAGTTCCTGTGCAGAGGTTTTTGTGGACAGCTGACCACAAACCCAGCCCTGGGAGCTGTCCTGCTCTGGGAGGGAGGCTTGGCCTGAGGCCTGAGGGGCAGCATTTTTATCCAAGGSTGTTGTGAATTGCTGGGAGGTGGAGCAGTAATAAAGACAAATGAGAGGCTTTTCCAGGTGGATTAGCCTGTGCTGACAGATGCTGTGCTGCCTTGGGATGCCTTTGGCCTGGCTCACACCTCCTGCTCACCTGCCAGCATTCCTCAGTACAGCCAGGATGAGAAAATTGTCTCTCCCTGAAATTCAGAGGGCTTGGAAGGACCTGGGGATGACCAGAAGCCTCCTGGGTAAACACCAGCTCAAGTACAAGAGCAGGGAAGGTGCTGCCCAACCTTCTTGTGCCATCAAGGAATTGGTTTCATTCTGTAASAAACAGGCAGTGGGGAGGTGGGATTGCTGTAATTCTGTTAAGAGCTCCATGAAAATGTCACCTTTTGGCTTGTCTGTGGCTTTGCAGCAGCTCTGCTGAAAGTCTTTTTCCTGCATGAGCTCTCTCAGGGGTCTGGCATGCAGGAAGGTGCTTAATCCAGCCCATGGCAAGCTCTTTTAATTCTTTGAGTAGTTCCCCCCATCAAAGCAGGCTCCAAAGTGGYTTTCTCTCGCCACTTAAGCTATTATTTTCTAGGGCCATTGAGTAAAATCCCTATTTGGAGATGCTCTTGTTGCAGTAGTCAATGGGTGCCTTAGGACCAGAATAATCTTCTTTGCTTTAATCCCATTCTGCTCTTTTGACCTTCCTTCAGCCTTGGCTCTTGTAGGCTGCTCAGCTCCCTCTTGCCCACACACCTCGCTGCTTCCAGGAGCAAATCCCAGCCCCTCAGAGACCTCTGACAGCCCCTCTGGCACAGTAAAACAGACCTCAGCAAAAAGTATTTGCAGGTTAATGTCCCTGGCCTTTCCCATTGTTGTAAATTTGGAACTTCCACAGAAACTTCCTCTGAGTGTGTGAAATTGTCCTTACTTGCCCATCAGCATGATGCCAGGCATATGAGGAAACTGAACCCCATTTTTCCTGGCTCAGGGAGGAGGCACAGCCTCCCCATTTCCACAAGGGGAACTGCAGAAGCACCTCAGCCTCAGGAATTGCAATGATTAAAGTAATTTTTTTTTTTTTTACCTGGGTCAGTTTAGTTTCCAGGTTCAGCTGTTGTATGTTGCATCTGTTTGTGTGGACTGTGAGCTTTKGACCAGACTCTTTAAAAATGTTCACTAAATAAATCATCTTTGTAATCTTTGCTTGCTCAAATTGGTGGAGAAAATAGGGAATTTGTAGAGATGAGGGTTGGATCCTTGTAACTTCCCTAGCAGCAGCTCGGCAGCTGCCTGCCCCTCCTCTCATCAGCTTCAGTTTTAGTTGATTATGTTTTGAGTGTTTGGSGTTTTTTAATGGGAAAGATTTGGAAGTTTATCAAGCATCTCCTGTTTGACCCAATGCTATAGAAGCATGGTTTGGGTGGTAAAGGACTTTAAAGCTTATCTTGTTGCACCCTGTGCCATGGGAGGGACACCTTGCACTGGATGGTTCCTCCAAGCTCTGCCCAGCCTGGCTTGAGCCCTTGGAGGGATGGGGCATCCCCATGTCCTGATGGGGCTGAGGAARGATTCCCCTGGGGCTGTGTTTATGGGGATGCCATCCTCAACTCTGTGGGAAGCCTAAGGACAGCAGGAGCTGCAGACAGTGAAGAAGAGAACGCTGCAGGCTGATTCCTGCTCTGGGGARGTGCCCAACCGGGTGTGGAGGAATTCAAAAAGCAAAGGACATCATTTTCTGATACAGGTTTATAATGAATTTTGACTTAAAATAATAAGCAGTATACGCAACATACAGGTGAGTTTTACAGAGATGCTGTTGTATTGTGGGTTTCAGAACCTACCAGTAAGTTCACAGGTTTCATTTGCTCTCTCAAGCCCTGTGTGTCCACCAGCATTGAGAGGTCTCTGCACACTCCTTGAGGGGTCAGGTCCAAGTTCCAGCTCCAGTTGTTCCCTTTGCTGGGGACACAGGGACAAGCCTTGTGCAGAGGTGGCTCTTGCTCAGCGGGGTCAGCGCTGTGCCAGGTCTGCTCAAGGGAAACGGGTAYCATGGAACTGTTACAGATTCACAGCACCCTTCCTCTGGCCTTGCAAAAAAGAGACAGCAGGAATGCTTTTGCAAGAGTGGATTATTGTCAACTAGCGTTTTTTTGCTGGTGAAGCTTTACTGTAAGGTAGATTCTCTGGGGAGGTGCAGAATTCCTCAGCCATTACATCCTGACAGCGGGTCCTCCAAGTTCGTATTGGTTGCACCGCCCCTTTGTGAAGAAACGTTGCAGGTTCACAGTTAGAGCGAGGATTGCAGCCTCCTCCTGGGTCAGGGATTAGTTTTGCTGAGCAAATCGAAGGGCTCACAGTACCTCCTGGGAACTGCAGTCCTTTCCCTAGTGCTTTGCAGAATTAATTAAATAGAAGCCATGCAGTTGAACTACAGCTCCCAGAATGTCACGGCCCTCAGGGCACAGGGGTTTAAAAAACTTGCGAGGGGGTGGCAGTGGATTATTCCTGTGGGGCTCCCGTCTGGTCAGGTCTGGTCCAGCCACTCGGCCCGTTTGGGTGCTTTACAGGTGTGCACATCCACAGTGTCCTGGCACTCCTTGCAGCGCACRGCGCAGCACCAGTGGAACTTGCACTCGCACTTGGTGACGCGGGTGACGCGCGTGGTGTCGTAGCCGCGGCCGCAGCACATCACCTCACAGCCATCCGTGCCACGGGACACCTTGCTGCACACCCTGCCCGCCGTGCCCAGGGAGCCTGCGGARGGAAGGGACAGCAGTCAGGGTGTTCCTCTCCATGTTCTTCCAACGCCTCCCCACCCGCCCACACTGGGGGTTACTGGTTTGCCAGGAGATAAGGGCAGTGGGGACATGGCCCCTGTGCCTGGGGAGGGAAGGGACAGCAGTCAGGGTGTTCCTCTCCATGTTCTTGCCCACCCACCCAGTGGGGGTTACTGGTTTGCCAGGAGATAATGGCAGTGGGGACATGGCCCCTGTGCCTGGGGAGGGAAGGGACAGCAGTCAGGGTGTTCCTCTCCGTGTTCTTGCCCACCCACCCAGTGGGGATTACTGGTTTGCCAGGAGATAATGGCAGTGGGGACATGGCCCCTGTGCCTGGGGACCCCTGGAGCAGCGTGCCCCCTGAGCCGGGCTCTGCAGCTCAGCCTAAGGCTGCAGGAACACGTGGCTGTCTCTCCCACCAAACTGCCAGCACTGCTGTGAACAGACCTGGGAATGCTCCAGGCTGAGAAACCATTGATCATCTCTGCAGGAGTCCATGTCTGCAGCCCTGACACCCCTCACCTGCTCTCATCCCAACCCTGGGCTGTTCAGAGGAGCAGCCTGTGCACGGAACAGGCTCCTTGTTGCCTGTCCAAGGGGGCTTTGCTCTGCAGGAGATGGGCTCTGAGGACACGCTCTGCTCCTGTCATTGCAGGAAGCCTGAGGGGTGTGGAGCTTTGGTGTAAAGCCTGGGGATTTTGGATAAAGCCAGTGCTGCCAGTGCAGGTGTGGGATGATGTTGGGTCTGGATAATTCCCTCTCCAAAACCTGGGGTTGGGTGGGGGAGCTGAGCACCCAGGCTGGGCTAGCTGGGAGCTGCTGGCCTGTTGGAGAGGAGGAAGAGATACCTTTGGGCAGTGACCAGCTCTGGGTTTTACCTGCTGATTTGTCCATCACGCAGTAATCAGGTGAGTTCTCAAAATACACCAGATCTGTTTTTGTGGGCTTCCTGAAGTTCTTGTTGGCCACCGTGAAGCCAGTGCCRTCCTGATTCATGGTCACCTGAATGGCCCCATTGTATTTCTTCCTTAGGTAATCCCCTGTTTTTCGAAAATCTGACATTGCCAGCCAACAAGTCCTTAGTGTGCAGGAGCCACTGACCCCGTGGCATTTGCACTCCAGCTTCAGGAAGCGCTTCACAGCCTGTGGGAAGAGGGATGCATAAGGACCTGTGGTCACCCTGGGGATCAGATCCTGCACCAGTGTCCACTCATTCCTGGTGCAGCTTATCAGCCTTGGCTCTGTGGGATGGGGCTCCTCATGGGAGAGGGGGGCTGTGTACAGAGGTCACTGATGTCAACATCAGCAAGGACACAGGAGGCAAAGGTAAGCAGGGTCCTGCCATCCCCATGGGGCCACTCCCAGGGCAAAGGAATGCCATCCCCATGGGGCCATTCCCAGGGCAAAGCGTGCAGGGGGAAGGCAGGGCAGCATCCAGTCCCCAGCGGGGCAGCCCCTGCCCTCCAGAGATGCCAGAGCTCCTGTTTCTGTGCCCAAGCTGCTCCTGTGCCCCAGCCCTACAGAAAGCTCCAGTGGGATGGGCTGCACTCACCATCCTCCCGCAGCGGTTGTTGTGCAGGTTCATCAGTGCCCGGGCATCCTTCACTTTCTTCTCCTTGGCATCCACAAAGGCTTTGGCAAAGCGGATGCCATAGTTGATGTTGTCACTGCAGCCACCCCAGTCAAACTCGCCCCTCTCGTCCTTGGAGCGGCCCCTCTTGAGCGGGTCACAGCCACACACCTTGAGCTCCCCTTGGCTGCATGCCCGTGTGATGGCATAGACCACTCCTGCCGAGGAGATGGCGTAGACAAAGGCTGCCTCCCTGCTGCCTGCAGCGGAGAGAAACACGGCTG